AATAAATTTATATTTAATACATTTTAATATATAAAATACTTTATTATTTTAATCCCGGAGCATAGCCTGGGCTAACACGCTAGTGTTCTTATATGATACGTATTAAAAAGTATACTCTGATATAATATTGATTTAAAGACAGAAACTTACAGTAATATGCATGATAAAGAACATGCGCCACTTATTATACACTCAGATTGATTACCTTTTTAATATATAATGTTTGACACTATATAGTTTAATAAGCAATGGCAAGCTAAGATAAGTCTAATTGCATCATCGACTAAAAGTTTGATGCTAAGTCTATTGAGTAAGAATAAATCTAATTACATAGTAACGTAGTCGAATGAAATCACAATTATAATGTACTGATCTTTCTTCACATAATAGTATAATATTATACAAATCTATCAATTGCAAATTTTATCAATTTAATAGCCGAAATTAATGATAAGGTTTTATTATAATGTTAAAACCTAACCCGTCATTTAATGACGGGTCCATCATCTAGTAACCTTAGTAACCTTTTAAACTTATAATTTAAACTTACCAAACTTAATGGTATGGTATACAAATTTTAATGCATATTTATAACAACACATGGAGATATTGAAAAGGCGACTTTTTCTAAACGGGGAATTTGGGTTATAGAGTCAATTACATAATGTATTTTATACTTAATCGGCTCTCGGAAAGTGATTATCAATTTAATTAGTATTTCGTTTTTGATGTACTGTATCTGGTTTTTTATTAATGTAACTAACTATAGAAAATTATGTGACAATCCATTTATCGTTGACCAATACTGTAGATAGAAAAGAAGTTTCCGTACATACTGTATGTATATTTTTATATCACCACAGTAAGCTGGTTGACATGATCATCATTGATTGCGTCATAACCTTTCGGATATCTCATCCGTCGGTTCCAATATCTATATCAAACACTGGAGTAATCGTTTTCGTAGATAAAGAACACCACATTTAATCACAAGTATCAAGCGGTTACTGTAACAAGGAATCGACAAGTTTGAAGTATTGACAATTTACTTTCTAAGATTCCATAAAATATGATCGCATACAGTATACTGTACAGTATTCTTTTAAATTCTGTGATCGATTTGTGTAAGTCATGTGCTGAACGTATGACAGAAGCTCGTTATACTTTTTTGTATAAATAACATCCGGACTCGTCACTTCTAAAGTCCTTGTTTCGAATCATGGGAAATGGATACCCTTGGAAGCAAATTTGAATACGACTTATTTGAAGATGTGATGACTATTTCAAGCGGACTATCGAATGACATAAAAAGTGCATATATAAACCAAATTAAAAAAACTTTTGTCTTGAAATGTAAAAAAATGGATGACGAATCCAACAAATATTTCTTAAAAGAGGTAAATTCGATCCTTTGATTCTTAAATGTTTGACTTTTGTGTATTTCAAATTTATGTAAAGTTACAATAAATAGGCATAAAATTTACTCCGAATCATCAGAAATGACAACGTAGTTAAATTTGCGGGTACCAGTAAAGGTATACGATACTTTTTCAATAATATTTGAACACGATACATAGTTATTTCGCAGTAAAATAATAGGGCCGACCCGATTATTGCTCTTTATAATGATGTAACTCTTGGGTTTTGACTTTATTCTGATATTTTTTCTATATAATAAACATCATTTCTTTTCCATTTAGATCCTTCTACCGAATCTGTTTTTATAGTGCTCGAACATGTAAATGGTATAGACCTTAGGACATATTTAGAAACAAATTTCCTAAAACTTGACTGGGATGTTAAAATAAGGATAGCAAAAGGCATTGCAGAAGGCTTGAATTATATCCACCATGCGAATGTTATACATTGTAATCTAGTGAGTATCTTTCACGGATTTACTACATGAGAATGTGTTATTCAACAAATTTATCTGAATAATTCAATAGATTCCAAAGAATATATTTGTCGATGGAAATGTACCAGTAATAATGGGGTTTAGTTCTTCTTTATTCCTTGACAGGCATAGCAATAACGCGATATTTAATTTTCACGAAAATTCCGATGACATTGCTTATTATGATCCGGCTTATCTTGATTCTAATCGTAAAAAGGATATATATTTTGATATATATAGCCTTGGTGTACTGTTATGGGAAATCTCGAGTGGTGTTTCTCCTTTCAGTAACAAAGGATGGAATAAATCAACATTGAAAAGTAAACACATTTGTGGCATTAGAGAAAGTCCCGTTGAGGGAACTCCAGCGGATTATGGAAAAATTTACCATGATGCATGGGATAAGAATCTTAGTAAACGTCCGTCAGCCGAGAATGTCAACTATTTTCTAAAAAACATCAAGTTATCACAATATCCCGACTATATTCCCGAAGTTTTTTGTGGAAAAAATTCAAATTCAACCAAGGATCATATAGAAGCTTGTTTAATAACGATAGAAGGTTCACCATTAAATCATCATTTTTTTCTTACTGAATTTGAAACAGACGTGGGAAGGGCGTCTATAAATCATATCATTATAGAAGACCAGGAAGTTGATGAAAAACATGCAACGATAAAAAATGACCATGGAAGGTTTTCAATCACAAACTTGAGTTCTTGGTCCGAGATTATCATCAATGACAATAAGAAGATTTCTCCACATGGGACTTCTCTTTTAGAAAAAAATGATTTCATTAAAATTGGAAGATGTGTCTTACAATATCTTCCTCCTGGCGATTATAAAATTCACCTAGATTCCAAATTTTCGATTTACAATGACAACTACTTTA